TCTTTTCTCCGATATTATTCTTTCGAAGAAAAAAAAAAAATTTCTTAATTAATATTTGAATCGAAGAAAAAGTAAGTTAGATTTAATCGATACGCCGAGTGGAATTCTCTGCAGGCCCTACACATTGCTTAGGATCCACAAAAAGCATATCGAAAATACGTTTTGTCCAAGTATTGTGTTTGAAATAACTGCTCTGTTTAAAAAAAAAACTTTGCTTGCTCGACAGGACGCGAATGATTGTAAGTTGACAAAAAAGAAATATCAGTAGATGCAGGAATAAAAAAAAATAGTAATGTTAGCATAGATGCACTTATCCAGTGAGACAGGAGTTCGGATCCCAAGATTAAAGACTGAATCGAAGGGAAAGAAGTAGAAAAATATACAGTGTAACTTTCGTCAAGCAATATTAACCTGTTGTTTCGTTCTATTTGTCTCTATGATACTACATTTATTTACGCTTCTAATCGGAACAATTTAATTGAAGAGACCTCGATAGCATGAAATATTCATAATTGTAGATTTCTTCTTAGCTCTATTATCATTTTCGTCGACGTAACGTTTAACCAGAGGCAAAGAACACGGGACTCCTAGCTCACGTAGTGAAACATATCCTTTAGGTGATCGTAGAAACGATGAAACGGGCTAGTCGCTTGCGCGTATTCGCGTCGGAGACACCCAAAGAACCATGTCGAGACATATCTCTGATTGCCGTAGGTTGTAGTCTCGTCGGCTGCATATATACATATAATATATATATATAAATATATATATACATATATTTATTTCGATTATAATAGCGCGTAATACTCTGAGAACGTTTCTTTCGCGTACACATATACATACAGAGATGCGTGTACACATGTAAACGTAAGTTAGAAAACGTCAGTCTAAGGCAAAAGCAATGTGCATAGTAACAAGAAGAGAACAAACAAATAGTAGAAAAAAAGAAAAAGGAGCTGTTCACACGAACAACAACGGAGCTTTACTCTGCCTCTCTGTCTCTCTCTCTGTTTCTATTGAACTTCGATGGTCATCTTCACTCGTATATATCTCGGTGCTCTCTTATACTGTCCGCTTCGTTACCTATCGAAGACTCATTTGAACATTCTCAATTTATAGTTAGTGTATACGCTGATGTAACACACATACAGACACGTGCCACAAGGCGACATGCAAGCATGTATACACGTACAAATAACTTTACGAGCATAGGACACGCATATGATAAACTCTGCGAATACATTACTACTTTATGTACCTATATGTTATTTCCTCTTTGATTAAGCATAAGTAATTAATGTGCATAAAACACACGAAACCTGTGTGAAGATTAAATACGAATGAAACTAAGTATTCACCGGCACATACATACACACGCGTGGATCTATCGCAGAGGATACACATATACACACATGACACGCGCACAGAACAGAGAAACTCCATGCCTAAAACGACATATCGGTGTTACAACGTATAAATATAAATATGATTATAAATATATGAATATAAATATTATGTAAAACACAGATACACAATGAAGTTCGTCAGTATATGTCTATAAATATTGTTACATATGTATGGTCATTATTAATGATAATTATTACGTGATATGTATTATGAAACATCTTTTTCTCGCAACGGTCCGCGATCCGGGCATCTACTCAGATTCTAATGTCTACATGTCATTGTTTATTATGTCGTTAACAATTAACGTGTATATGTGAAACTTTCAAAACGAATAAAAAGTACCTAAGCATACGATCGTAGTAATTCTTTTCTCCAAATGCATATCCACTGCCTTCATTTTTATTCGTAATTTATGTTAAAAAATATTAGCTGGTTCTTTTATAATGAAGGAAGCAACAAAAAAGTACAATTAGTTTCATTCAATAAATTACAAATGTGTCCAATACGCTAGAAAAGAAAAGAAATCAAAATACAGAAAAAAAGAAAGAATCCTCTATAAGTTAGATAAGGATAACGAGAAACATTGCGGCGACACTCTAATTATTCTTTAATTAAAGTACTTGAAAATAAGCCAGGAACTGTTTTTCACTATCTACATTAATAATAGTATTAAAGCAATTACAAATGGGTTATAAGTATCAACCAATATAGAGATAACGAGGATAGCAACAGCTAAGAGAGTTAGACAAGAAAAGACACAGCGGTAGACAAGGATAGCACTAGACAAACGAGTTGGACAAGGAAAGGTATAGCGGTAGACAAGGATAGAAATAGTAGCGCGTGTTAGACAAGGAAAGGAATAGCGGTAGACAAGGATAACAATACTACCGCGTGTTAAACAAGGAAAGGAATAGCGGTAGACAAGGATAGCAACATTACCACGTGTTAGACAAGGAAAGATATAGGGTTAGACAAGGATGAAAAATTTTACAGTTTCAGAGTAACACCATCTCGTGTTTGGATCCA